TCCTTGCGCACACAAAAATGAAGCACTCTATGTTCTTTCCTTTAAGCATTTTTCAATGCACTGAAAGCAGAAGTTATTTTTACTCATGAAGTAATTTAGCTTTCATGAAGGCACTCATAAATTCACAAGAACTGCATTTCTGGAGTATCAATGGCCTCACAAATAGAATTTTTCAGACTTTTATGGAAATATACTATATGTGACAAACCTCTCACATACTCTGAAGAATTATCTATTAGACTGAACTGACTACTGTGGATAGATATATAGCTTCACATTCTCAGTGCATCTGAAAATTACCACATTGAGAAAGATAAACAGTCAGACTTACATTCCTGACATCACAGCTGTCTAACCTTAGAAATATTAAACACATTATGAACAGTCTTTAAATTAACTTTGATTCCCGCTTTCCAAGAATCTATTGTTTTTTCTTAAATGACAGTTTCTTTAGTATGATTATAGAGAAGATTGCCACTGACAAAGACAACAGAGAAACTGTCTTATAGGAGGAAATATATCTTACCAGGGGAAAGTTAAAGCTATTAACTGTGTACCTGTTAATAAACATTAGCTTGAATTGAATTTAAATTTCATTTTAAAATACTCCAATAGCAATACAATCACAATAAATGAGTAACATGTGCCAAAGGATGATGTTGCTAAGATTCATTTTTTAAAATGCAGGATTAGTTAAGTACAGATCATCTTCAATTTACAACTATTCATTTGGTGACCATTCAAAGTTTCAGTCGCATTGGGAAAAAAAGTGATTTACAACCAGTCCGGGCAATAATGACCATCGCAACATCCCATGGTAATGTGATCAAAAGCAATCAGCATGTATTTACAATAATTGTAGCATCCTGGGGCCAGGCAACGACCAATGGCAAGTTTACCATCCAACTTCTGTCAAGCAAAGTCAGTGGGAGAAGCCAAATTGGCTTAAACACCATGTGATGCACTTAGCAGTTGCAGTGATTTGTTAAACAACTATGGCAAAAAAAAAGTTGCGAAATCGGGTGCAACTCACTTAACTACTATCTTGGAATAAAAATTCTGCTCCCAATTGTGGTCATAAGTCAAGGACTAACTATTATATTAGCCACACAGTGCAAGTGATAAATTATTCTGTTTATGTGTCTGAATATTCCTTCTTCCCTTTGAGTACAGTCATAACCATTTTTTTCCCCAGACCTCATGTTATTATTAGTCATTTCAAATTAAGAAATTATTTCTATTTTGAAAATTTAAAAAGAATTCATCTGAAAAAGAGATTCTATTTTAACATCATAAAAGAAAAATGTGATTTTCAGATTATTGCCAACAGTTCTGACATAATTTAGAGTCAATCAAGGAAAATCATTTTTTTATGTTAGTAAGCCTTACCTCCTCCCAAACCTAACTTTAGTTATAAAGGCTCAGGGTCAGAGGTGGTATTCAGCAGGTTCTGACCAGTTCTGGAGAACCGGTAGTGGAAATTTTGAGTAGTTTGGAAAAACAGCAAATACCACCTCTGACTGGAGATTTTATAGTATCCTTCCCCAGCCACGCCCACCAAGCCACGCCCACAGAACCGGTAGTAAAAAAAAATTGAATCCCACCACTGCTCAGGGTTCTTGTTATAAGTAAATCTTATTCTGCATAAAATACTGTGAATATAATTTTCATGTCTATAATTAACTGCCAATATCACACCTAGAGATTTATATGTCAGTCATCTGCTAGGCTTTCACTGATCAGGCTGTATCAATTTAATTCAATTTGATTTTTATTATGGTCTGCATTTTTGAAGTCAGCATTAATATTAACAATTTAGTTAAACAAGTCAGCCATTCTATTTCTATGGGTCAAAGGAAGTTCAGAGGTTACTAATTCATTCTGCCTCAAATGGGGAAAAAAAAGTAAAAACAGAAATGTGGTGGCATTCATGAGCAATGGCACTATCATGGATACTGGGTGCTTCATCCTGTAATAGGGGATGAAATATAAAAAGATGCCCCATATTTACCTGGAATGGCACATGGCACATATAGCGAACATTAACAAAAAATATCTGATCTTTTTGTGTCAAAGCTAAAATCAAGAATATGACAATAAAATTAAATAAGATTATATGGGAACAAAACAAAATGGCTTTCAGAAATAATACTTCTGTCAAAAACAATGTAATAAATAAAATATGGATTGGTAGGGGTGGGGATTTTGGGGAGGGTATTTTCTCAGGAGGCCATGTTTCTGAAAATTAAATTTTGTTGTCCTTCAGTCACTGAACATGATAACTTGTAGCCAGAATTAGAACTTGTATTATACTAAAATTAACAGATTTTTTTCCCTTTTAGTATAAGACTGAATAGCAATAGCAGTAGCACTTATATACTGCTTCACAGTGCTTTATAGCCCTCTCTAAGTGCTTTACAGAGTCAGCCTATTGGGCTGATAACCTGGCTCCTGATTTTAGTGGCCTTGGAAGAATGGAAGGCTGAGTCAACCTTGAGCCTGATGAGATCTGAAGTGCCAAACTATAGTCAGCCAGCAGTCAGCAGAAGTATGTATGATTTCTACTCTTTTACCACATATTAGCAAGGTCCACATATGAAATTGTAAAATTAAATACAATTTTAAAATTAAAATTAAAAAAATTAAGCTGCACTTTCATTAGAAACCAGAAACCCCTTTAAACTTTAAGTTTGTTGCACAAGTTTGGGAAGTTGCAAAGAGGGGGATGTGCAAAACATCAAGAGGGAAACAAATGTGTCCTGCTGTAAACATTTAAATGGCTTGTAGGAAATGATACTGAATTTATTATCAGGAAGAATGGGAAGAGGATTGGTGAAACTCAACAATTGGAAAATGGGTTGAAACTGTCTACTCACATGCTCTGCAAACTTCCATGTTTATTAGGAAATCAACTTCAATGTCGTTCCAGGTGCTCTACATCTTAAGCTGAAATTTAAGAGATTGAGATGCCAAACAATGGTGTGAGATGACAAAGATGCTCACTTATTTTTAGAGCATTCCACAAACTGTTTGTCAAGATGACGTCAACTCTTTAGTGCACATTCTAGGACACTTCACAATGTTCCTTAAAGTAACCATTAAACACTACTGCAAAGCGGATCTCTTATAGAGTATTGAAGATGGGAAACAGACGCCATTCACATTTTATCAAATTTTATTTAATAAAAAAGACAAGATCAGATTAAAAATACAAACACTTTGGGTGATTATCCAGCGTTTCCCTCTGCTTCAAAATAATCAAACCAACCAATAAGCAAAATGAAAAACAAAACATTTTCTTAAGGCAATGTTTTGGCCAAAGCTGTAAAATAATGCAGAACCAATTAAATTATACCAAAATATATTATTATACCTTTGAAATGGCTTTCAGACCAATAAATTAAAGGAAAACAAATACAAAAGTCAACTTTAAAGACAAAAAAAATTCTTTGCAAATTAAATAAGGAAAAAAATTACACAGCACTATTAATAACAATGTGCAGTCAAGAGTTCTGGTTCTTCTAGGAATGATAATATGCCAGTAAGTCCCTACAGAACATTTTTCCAGTTTGGCAGCAATCAGTTAAACCAGTGTTTCTCAACCTTCCTAACTTTTAAGATGCGTGGACTTCAACTTGCAGAATTCTAGGAATAAAAGTGCACACATCTTGAAGTTGCCAAGGTTGAGAAACACCGAGTTAATCAGTCATTCACATTTGTATACAAGATGACAGGCCTGGGCTACAACACAGAGCTAAATGTAAGAACAATTCTTAGTTCTTCCCAGGAGCTGTTGAGAGTTCCCTTTTCTTCTCAATGTTTATCAACTGCATGTTAAACTGGGCTTGCTGAAGACAAGTAGCAATTAGCACTATTCTACTTTAAAACAACTGAGACCAATCCTTAGTTCTGAAATGAAAAAGGGTTGCCTATTCATGAATCAAAACCTGGTCTTTATTAATAAATCTTAAATTTATCCAAATTACTGAACTATGCTTTTTTTTTAAGCTGTGCGTTGAAACATATGTACCCTTCTAAGGTGGAAATCTCTGAACAAATTTGCTTACCAGTCAATCCAGTGAGGCTGACTAAGTAAACATAGTTCTGGGCTTCATATTTAGCACTTGGAATTTAAATTCAAAAAGACTTGGATGAACTCATTATGAAGGTAAAAATAAAAAGTGAGACATCCAAGATAACATTAAATATTAAGAAGACAAAGTGTGAATATGAAGGTGTTTTTAGTTTTTTGAACTCAATAAATAAAGACGAGCTGTATGCAATCTAAAGCATAGGTTGGTTAAGAAAGAAGACAGTAATAAAACTTATATAAAATCGTGAAAGAGACCTCAATGTCAACAAAGTTCAGAATACTTGAATTGTAATTGTTGTGGCAATGTACAGCTGTGAAAATGGATACTGAAAGACAATGAGAAGGTAGATGACTTTGAACTATGGATTTGGGTTTTTTTAAATATATCATGACTTGCTGGAAGAACCAGTAAATTAGTCCAAATAAAATCAGATTGTTCATTTTAGGCATATGGTACAAGTAGATGATGGAATAGAAAAAAGAATTGCTTGGCAAGGTTGAAAGATGTATAAGAACTGGAAGACAAAGGATATGGTAGGTGGATACAATCAATTACTATATTACTAGAATACCTTTGGAAGCATTTCTATTTAGTATCAATGACAAGTCCAGCTGGATAGTACTATAGGGATACTATTATCATTTGGTACCATTTTGGATTATTTGATCCAATATGTTTTGGAAGAATACAATGATCTTTCTGTTATTTGGGAAAAGGAAATCAATTAATTCACTAATCTTAATGGTAGCAACAAGTTGTCTACAGATACCTGTCATAGTGCCCATCATGTTCCCTGCTGCTTCTGTTTACTTTTTAAGACGGTCTTTTAATTTTTATAAAGAGAAGCTAATCTGCTACAAAGCAAACCTCTATAGGTTTCAGAGGCATTCTTTGAACATAAAAATGTTTGGATATGTGCACATCTGTCCAGAAATAATGCAAAATTAAGCTGGAATATACAGCATTCGGTGGACAGAAGCTAGAGAAGGCTTCAAAAGAGACTTATTAGTCTTTCAGTTACAGTACGTTTTGTCATTGAACAGGATCATACATCATTCATTTTAAGAACATTAAATTTCCCTCCTCACACCAGCTGTTTCATGAAAGCATCTACATCATAGTCCCCAAATTCCAAGTGCATCCATTTTTTCAACAAAATTATGAGAACTGTACAACCACACTGTCAGTTAATTCTAATATTTTAGTATCTTTGCTTTGAAATCCTTTGGAATTGGCACTAGATTCCTGTAATTTGGGAGCCTCAAATTAAAGGGAGGGGAATTATGTTCTTTGTAATGAAACTGGCATAGCTTAAATGAAGGAAGTACTCTTAGCCTAGTTAGATTTGAGTTGGCCTATTTTTTCAACAAAGGGTTACAACACTGATTCTGTAAACTACCTTAATAATGTTACTGTACTGAAACTCTGAACTGCTTTCTGGGATATGTGTGACCTAAAGTAAGTCAGAAGTCTCCATTGCCCAGGCCTATCAACCACATAGTGCCTATTTAAAAAGAGGCTTACATTCTTTCATATAATCCAGTAAACCCAAGTGGTATCTTTATGGGAGTTGAAACCTTTAATTGAAATTTTAGAATGACATCCATGAATCATGTCTTGTTTTCTCCAATTTGATTCAACTGATCTAACAATATCATCTATAATACACATATATTCTTAAATTGAATTCCTCATGAAGTCCACTACCCTATTATCTTTTTCTTACACGTAAACTGTACTCCTTCTAAATATCTATGGAGATTCTCAGTCATCCAGGTTATGGTTATCCCAAAGGTGCTTTTCAAAAGACAACTGGGCTTTCAGAACTGAAGAAGCTTCTTGGATGAGAAGCGAAACATCTTCAAAGACAAAACAAGGAAGTCCAATTGCCTTTTGAAAAAGCACCTTTGGGTGTATTCCTTCTAGTCATCCTCATCACTTTGTTTCATCTAGCCATTCACACCACTGCCTATTAACAGGGCTCTGGAAATCTGTCCTAAACTGAGGTCTGCAAGAACTAAACTCAAAGTCTTTGATAAAACTTAAATTCTGCAGCTCATTAAATCAGCATTAGATCACTTTGCATAACATACTTATGGTTTCATAAATTATCCTTTAGAAAAACTTTATGGTTTCTATAACTTACATAAACGCACAAGTGGTGAAAAAAAACCTGTTAAAGGTTCTTGGCACTTCAAACAATTTATTTTTAATTGCAGACATACAGATTTCCAGAGTCCCCACTAATTGGGAAAAGAATATGGTTCTTGTCTCTCAACTCATCATTTTTACTACATTACTATTTCTTGCTAACTGAAGTTCTATAAAAAATGAAATATTTCCCACTTAAATTGCTAAATGCTTTTCAAAAGAAAAATATTATAACCAGCATTTCCAATAAATGGCTAGGCAAGTATGCCCACAAAGTTTTTAGCCCAGTCCTTTTTGCATGTATTTTTCAGTTAGGATCTCCTTTGGTTGAAATTCAACTTAATTAGCTGAAGTTTAATTCATCAGTATAGATACTGATAAATCCATTCGCCAATAATTTATTATTTTTAACTGTTGATTATTTTTTACTCTTAAAGTTATAGCTTTTCCACTAGTTAGTTACCTTCTCTAACAAAAATGAAAAGTACCTTTTTTCAGTTTATATTTTATCTAGTTTCAACTTACTACACTGGAAGATTTTATTTTTTTTCTATCTGCCAGAGTTTTCTTCATATATTACCATAATTTCTTTGTACATTAGGTAGTATTTTAACTGCATGAACTCCAAGTTTGAATAATAAGCATGAGGTGGTATTTTCAAAGGACTTCTCCTTATAACAATGTTGTTACTTTCAGCTAATTGATAATTGGGCCAACTCCATCATAAAGGTATCCAAGACCCTTTCTCTCCAGTCCTACTTTTTCCCCATCTGCTAATTAAATTTATTACAGATCTCTAGAGCCTTCTTGTAGACCTGAGTGACATCATCCATGTCTGTAAGAAGAGAAAAACTATCACTTGTCCGATTTCGGTAACGCTTCAGGTACTGTGGTCGTGAGCGGTTTTTTTGAAGTCCTTGGAAATCTTGGATCTGGAGGAAGTTTTCAGCAGACACACAGCTTTTTATTTTAAGTTTGTTCTCTTGCAAGTCCACCAAGTCAAAAGAGTCACTGGAAAGAATGCTGTCATCACTAATCACACTAGAAGGGCGACTGTAACTTCGAGATAATCCATCTACAGCCAGACCTGCTTCCTCCATGCCTTTCGTCACTGGTCTATCAGAATGGATCAAAGCTGAATGTGCAGTAGTGGTGGAATACTTGCTACTGTGTTTTAAAATACCCTTCCGTCTGTAGGAATGACTGTAAGACTCTATCCTTAACGTTTCGATGATATTTGGGGATGTATCACTGTTTCCTACCTCCTCATTATGATCCAGGAGTTCTGAAGATTCACTCCGTTCTGGAGATGAGTAGTATCCCGATTCTCTTTGCTGAGTCTTCTTGAGGATTCCCTTTTTTGGCATTAAAGAAGACTGCTTAGTGCTGTATTTACCCGTTATATCCCCTTCCAAAACACTCTTAATTGGTATACCTGTTCTACATAATTCTTGTTCTTTTTTAAAAGTGGAGGGCAATACTGGATTGACTACTCCTTCTATGAATCCTGCACTGTGAGATCGATGTTCACTATTGCTCCTCTTCTTCAAAATACCTTTTGGCCTCTTGGAATTTAATTTGCAGGAGTTGTCAACTCCTTCTTGGATAGACTGTGCAATGTCATTTTCCTTCTTTGATTTTTTGAGGGATCTCTGTCTCTCTAAATGGACTTCGGATCCTTTTGGTTTAGAAAGGCACTTCATTTTGGTCTCAGTCTCTGGCTGAAGGCCACTGGATCGATGATGCCAGTCTATGAATCTAGACAGCAGAGGGGACTCAGAGTCTTGCAAGGCATCACAATCACAAACAGTACTCTTATAGCCCCAGTTAACCCACCAGTGGTTGGCAATGTCTTCAATGGTTGCTCTGCGCTCAGGATTCACCATCAGCATCCATCTGATCAGGCCGCGAGCATCTATTAACAAATAATATACATTAAAGACTTTTGAGCTTAAGATTTTACATTAATACAGAATCTAACATATAATGGATAGTTGCAAATGACACGAAAATTACGCAGGGCAGTATATTGGCCTGGAAGAAAGGGATTAAGTAGGTAGGTAGTTGACTGACAGATTTCCTAGGGGTAGATTCCTGGTACAAACTGACACTAAATTACTTTTCCATATCATGAAAACGGTTCATACATAATATTTAATAATACTGGTCTGTTTTTTTCCCCAAGGTTGCTGAATGAATATAGTAAAGGGAAGCACATATGAAGAAACACAGATTCAGAAAATCTGTCAATTTTTGCATGTAGATTGTAGGGATAAAAGCAAATGACAATCCTTTTCTTAATATATATCTATAGAAATATTTATTATGTAAATATTTATCAGTAGTTTTAAGTGTTATAAGACTTTCCTGAACAACTATACAAATCTTGAATTTAATCTGCTTTTTAAAGGAAAACAACCTGAGTTGCACTCTGGAGGCTAATATGTGAGATTTATCTTTCAGTAAAATTAGAGTTTGTAATAGAATGTATAAAAATCAAAACATATATATTTGTCAAATATAGTCTACTTGGAGACTGACTGTATATAAGGAATGTATATTTGTGTGTGTATGAGAGAAAGCCTATGTATTATTTCTAATAGCTAAATGCATATAACCTGGAATACAACTAGTCCAATTCTTCTACCTTTAACCATCAGATTTACCATCTCCGTGAGAACAATGTTAAAATATTTGGTAGATTTTGGTGTTCCCATGTCAAACCAAATGGTGCCTTTAATTTTTCAGCCTAGTTTTTTAATTGCTGTCATCAACATCCTTCTGTATTTTTAATAAATTGTGAAAGACTTGTTGATGGTCAACATAGGACTAAATTCTTAAGCCAAAGTTTGCTCTCCAAAGTCTGTTATTATTTTTTTAATTTACACACATGTGCACACCCACACACACACACAATTCTAATGGCTGAAATGAATCTCTATCAAGTAACACTTTGTAGCTTCCTTGTAAAGACTAAGAGACTTTTGACTATCACCTAGTTAGATGAAACAAATTTGAAACAAATTCACTGTCACTCAGATTTGCTATGGCACATGAGAGAAAAAAAGCAGATATGTCTTGGTCAATGTTTAGGACATTAGACATTATGATCAGCAGCAACATTTCAGCCTGTCAACAGAAGTCCGTGGCAATAAATCTGTTGTGGCCCGACAGCAGCCAGCAGAGCTGGCAGCAGATTCGGACAGTGGGGAGGTTGGGAAGGAACATGGGCCAGTCCTGGAGTCTGGGGAAGGCTCTGACAAGTGCTCTGCGTAGGAGGCAGAGATGGGGCCAGGGCCATCTGACAGTTATCAGCTGCCTTCAGAGTCAGACATCAGTGAGGCAGAAGAGCTGGAGCCTGTTTCCAGTGTGCATATGTGCAGAATTGCCAGAAGAAGGGAACAGCTGAGGGACAAGGGCCGACTTGGGAGTAAAGCCACAGGTGGATGGTGAATGGCCCCTCCCATAGGGAATAAAAGAATGAAAGGGGAGTGGGGCTTTGCAGGAGACAATTAGTTCCTTCTGGCATCCTTGCCAAGTATTGCAGGATCTGAAAGATATCGGCCTGGCCATGCTCCAAGCCTGATAAAGGTTTGTAATTGGGAACTATCTTGAAAGACTGTTGGCCAGAATTTTGTTGGAGAGGAAATTCATTGTAAATCAAATAAAAGGTTTTGTGCTGTTGGGGAAGCCTAGGTCAGAACAAAATGACCTGGCAATCGACATTTTAAGAGGGAAACTGTAATACAATTCAATCTGTCTTCAAATTATCTATTATAGGAGTTCTGCATTACAGAACTAAAGAATTGAATAATGTTTGGCCAGTAAGTATTAGATATAAAATTAGAATTTACTTTCAAGTCAATATTTCATAGACATTGTTAGAACCTAGGTACCCCAAGACTGTGAGAAAGAAATTAAAACGGGTCACAGAACAGGCAAACTGCTTATTGGTGAACAATTTTCAACAAAACCTTTATATTCCTATCTGCTTTATTGGGGCTTCCATTTGTAATCTAAGAGGTGAAAACTGACTGAGAATGAATCACAAAACATGAAGTCCTTATGGTACCCACATAGTTAGGGAAAATTAAACATCAGAGAGAATCTTACAATTGTGATGAATATTCAACTGGAATATATGTCTTTATTTCTGTGGTCACCTTTTAAAAATGATTCAGGACAGTGTACAAATAAAACAAGAAAACAAAAATAATTCCATATAAAATATAGTAAAACTAACAACAAAAATTCTATCTAACAAAAAGGATGAGAACCAAATCCTCCTGATCCAGTGTCTGGGGAAAAGATGGATTATGTATTGTCATGGTTTTGGTGACTTAATTCCTTGAAGAATAGTTCTACATCTAGTAGCTTGCAGCTCTGCCTAACTAATGGTACTTGTAACCCTCTAGAATCCACCATTTTCCTTGTACTATTCCAAAGTGCTTGTCTCTTTCTGCTGAGAAAGACTGTGGACTTACACAATGTCATATTTTCAAGTATAGACTTAAGAAATAATGTATGACTTCTCCTTGCCTCTTTAGGGCAGTTGATAATACTTTCCAGCTATCATACATCAGAAATACTTGTTGCTTTAAACAGATCTTCCTCAAACTTCTCACAATACCCTTTGAAAATCAAAAGCATCCAGATAGCCTTTGATGCAAATTGAGAATCCTTAGTTTGTACTGCAGTATTTCTGTTTTATCCATCCAACTCCTCCACATAGCAAACATCAGAAAGGATGTAAAACAAGCCATTAGAAACCCCTATTATGTCAATGCACCATGCATGACACATCTTTTGATACCTGAGGGCTGTGTTGGCTCACGATATTCTCCACTACTGATCTGCCTGATCAGATTTTTGTGATCAAAGCCATCAAAGGGCATTGTTCCATAAACCAGAGTATAAAGTAAAACACCAAGAGCCCAGCTGTCAACCTAAAGCAGAAAGAAACATAAGGAGTAAAATATGGTGACTCCTGAAGATGCTGAAATTACTAAAGAAACAAAACATCCATCTACCATTATTTAAAAAGGTATAAGTATTCTGTAGAAAATCCAGCAATGAAGAATGAAAACAAGACTTTAAAGCATCTTGTATGCAAAGATTATTACTTTTTGGATTATCAAAAAAAAAAAAACATTTTCACTGAATTCCATACACACAGAATATTTACACAAACCAGCTATATAAAATGAATTAATCAATACATAAATTTATACTTTTCATTCCATTTTTAAAAAATGTTTATTTCTTCTGAATTTTGTTTACCTCTGGTCCTCGATAAGGTCTTCCATTAACAATTTCAGGAGATGCATATAGTGGACTTCCACAGAAAGTCTGGAGAAATTTATCCTTCTGATAAAGATTTGAAAGACCAAAGTCTGCAATCTGTAAAGACAAATTTAGAAGCGGTTGGCTATGGATAATATGTAACATTAATACAAGCCTTTTTTCCATTCTGTTTCTTTCTTAGTTTCAGAATAGTAGCACGAGGAGTTTATAACAGCTGTTATATTTCTTTTAATTCTCGTTTTCAATTACATTATATATTATATTATATTTCAGTTATATAAAGTATGTGTTATTGTATTAGTAAAACATCTACGCCAAAATGCATCTTCTTTCATTTGTTTTCCATGGGCAACTCAAATGTACATGTATATTATGAATAAAATAAACATTGGAACCATACAGCACATATTTGTAATGCTAAAAATATTTTCATGCAAAATAATTTATGCTTGCATACATATCATACTGCTAATTGAATAAGAATAGTAGTTAGAGGCTGCAAAATATTTTTGAACAGTTTTGAAAAATTGGAAAATAAAAACTTAGAATGAAAATGACTTTCTAATATTTTGTTCCGGCCTTTTGGCTGCCAGCAGAGATAGCTGCAGAGTCAGGAGGTTGGGGGAGGAGGAGGAGGTTGAGGCAGAGCCTGGGCCAGCTTCAGAGCCTTTGGAAGGCTCTGATAAGGAAACAGCACCAGAGACAGAGGCAGAGCCAGGGCCTCCGTCCTTCCCCAGGTGGAGAGAAAGCTGTCTTTGGGGCCTGACCTGAGTGAGAGGGAGGAACAGAAGGGGGTCATCCCAGATGCGCATATGGAAAGGAGAGGAGAACAAAGGAGAGGAGAGCAAAGGAAAGCAATAAGCTGGCTCTCAGGGATACACATATCTCTGGTTCACAGATGATAGCCAGCCCCTCCCTCTCTGGGAAATAAATAGGAGGTGTTTGGGAGTGGCCGGTTGTTGCAGACAACCATTTGTTTCTAATATACAGCAAGCAATTCATATTTATTGGATAAGCCCAGGATTGTTGGGACCAATTACATTTGATTTTTTGTTTATCCCTGTGAATAAAAGACTATTACTGCCCTGTTATAAAAAGGGGTTGTTTTACTTGTGAGCAAAAATTTTATCACTACTTGCAAAGGCTGGGTCAAAACATATTTGGGGTCTTTCTTGGAGCGAAGCAATTTAGAAGTCTAGTTGATCCAAATATGTGCTTAGAAATAAGAAAGAGTGAGAAGATTCCCAAAGTTATCATTAAATAAAATTTGGATGAATGACAAGGTGGGATAAAAATCCAATGAATAAGAATATAGAATAATAGAGTTGGAAAGGACCTTGGAGGTCTTCTAGTCCAACCCCGTTTGAGCAGGAGACCCTATACCATTTCAGAATAAATAAACTCCAGCTTGTTTGGGAGAAACTCTATTCAATAGCAAATAAGAGGTCACACAAACAGAGGGAGGATCACATTGGTCACCTCCTATATTTGAGATTTTGAGTCTTTGGGGCTTAGTGTTAGTGTTTAGTCACAGCAATCTGTGTCCCTATAGAACAGGGGTGTCAAACTCAAGGTCCATGGGCCAGAGCCGGCCCACAATATGGTTGAATCCGGCCTACAGGGCTGTTCTGGAAAATGTAAGGGGCTGGCCTGTGTCGCTTCAGTCCAGTCTACCCAGTGCGAAGAGGAAAAACGCCAGCAGTTTGGGGAGTGGCATCGAGCTGAACATGCCCACCCAGTTGGCCACACTGCCCGACCCCCCAGAGGTCAACCACAGCCCTGATGCAGCCCTCAATGAAACTGAGTTTGACACTCCTGCTATAGAAGAAAAAATAAATAAAACTAGGGGAAGAGTATTCTTTCAATTTCAGTACACTTGTATCTTGTAGGCTAATGAAATATGAACACTTTTTACCTCATACTGGCAAGGTTTCTACAATCCTCCCCTCTGATAGGAATGTTGCCTTCTCTACAGCATATAAATTGACAGGGTCATTTGTCGAAGTGGCCTACTGTTTTATTAAAGTGTTCTGTGAATTTAACATGCATTCCTAGCAGGAGATAATTATTGAGTATCTACTTCTTGAACAATATAATAGAGAGTATATTAAACTAATGATTGAATGTGGTGGAAAATCCTACTCTGAAGTAAAAAAACTGCATAGGTGGGCTATAGGACATTTTCCAGGCTGTGCTTTTTGATATTTCATTACAAGGACATTACAAGACAAGCCAGTAGCTATATTTTATTTATTTATTTTATTTGTTTGTCAAACATGACAAGATAACAAGTATAGGTATGAACATAAACATGAAGAAAGGAAGTAAATACAGATAAATGGGACAGTAGGACAGGGACAGTAGGCACACTGGTTCCTGATGCACACACCCTTTAAGGACCTCTTAAGAATGGGGTGAGGTCCACGGTAGACAGTTATATTCATTTCAAAATCAATGTCTCAATTCATGTCCCATGGTTTTGGAATTGCATGCAGAAAGAAATCCTAGAAAAAAAGTCCCTGTGTAAAGCCTTCACTGTATGTCTCAAATCCCATTAGAAGCAGCTGATGTAGAACTTCAGTCTGCAAATTTTAAAAGTTCAGTTTGCAGTTAATTTCCTTAAGTTCTTATCAAATCACTCTGAGGAGTTTGCTGGAACTTTATCTTGAGCTCATAATCACAACTCCATGAATCAGTAGATTTCCTTTACTTAAAGAAACTGTAGAGCAGATTGTTCTGACATTCATTGTACAGTTTATTAAGACAATCTGTGGTCTTATTGTCCTACAATCTACAAAATACATAGGCAAATGGGTGTGTAAAGTTTAAATCTCAAACTGGCTCCAAAGCATTTTCATTTTTGACCTTCAGGAAAAAGTGTTTCTATTTCAGCCAACTCCTATATTCACAAGTTTATCCGATTTTCTAGTTAAAACTGACATTTCCCCTCCCCCTCTACGGAGAACAAAATCATAGTAGCCAAGATTCCTTCAAGTTCTTCTCACTTAAACAGAGCCAAAGAATTCAAATGTTTCCCAAACAGGGAGGGGTTGCTAAAAAACCAGATGCTATATTCCCTTATCCTCAAGGAAATGATTGTTTCCACTACTTATATTAAATGTGATGAAATTTACTCACTGAATATGATGCTTATACCTTCTCCAATATTTGAGCTTAGGGTAATCTGAATTAACTCAAAATTGGATGGAACATAAGTTTCATACTCATTGAGTAAATTTCATTGTATTTGTAGTGTAAAGGAACATTTTTAAGGGAACAATTTCAGCTTAACCTAAATTGTAATACTGGAAAAAGCACTAGCTTTAAGCTTTATACTCAGTGAGTAAATTGCTCAGCAAGTCAAATTTAAACAAATAATATTAAGAAAACAATTTTTAAAAAGGTAGTCCTAAGCACTGTGAAAATTGAGAAATATAAGACTATAGGTGTAGATGTGTACTGTATATGTACAGAAATTTCAAAATAGGACTGCATTGTCCTGTTGGACAAATGGTTGCATTGTTCCACTATATAAATGGAATAATAGCAAAATTGAATCCAAGATTAAAGGGGTTTTGGCTAGAAAGGGATTTTACAATTAAAAGAGTGCAAAGAGTAACAAAACAACTTTTGGTTTTATATATAATCCTCAACTTTGTCCTCACAATTGGGACCAGAATTTCTGTTGCTAGGCAAGGCAGTTGTTAAAAAAGCTGTGCCCAATTCTGTGACCTTTTTTGCCACAGTTGTTAAAAGGATCACTGAAGTTGTTAAGTAAATATGGCTTAACTATGTAGGTCACTGGAAAAGTTATTTTTCATACCTAGTTCAGGTACTGTTTCTGTTAAGTTTCATTTTTTATCTCTTGAAATTCACATTAGGAAAAATACATAATGGGAGGGAGAAAGCGAAGAGGCTGTAAGAGAGATGCCACATAACCGAAGGTGACTCCTTCTCTAGCAGACATAACAAATTTGTCCGCTTTCAGACTGGGAGAGAGAGAGAGAGAGACAGGGAGGGGAATTCAATGCGTGTTGGACAAGACCCATCAAATGTACTTACATCTTTTACAATGGAAAAAGAGACAGAAGCAGAAGGAAGACGGTTCCCATCTTACATTTCTTACAAGGAAGTAACAGATATGGTGAGATCCCACAAAGGGTATCTTGGAAGAGGACTGAATTCAATTTCCATGATTAGGAAGAAAGACTGTTGCCAGAAGGGTTCTGGTTTTGGCCAAATTATTTTGGGGAATTATGATTTATATATAAAAAAAATACAAACCTCATTTCAAACATCAAGAGGGAAAAAAATCTAGGCAATAGTGCAAAAACCAAACACTGGTCTATCTCTCAGAGCACACTGTCAAAGGCTGCCAGTTTTATTATAATATAGTATTTATCAGTTATATATCCATGACATAAAAAGCACTGGTTTGTATTACGTTAAAATTACACTTTAATAAAGGTTTTATGATTTTCCCCCCACAAAAGGGTATCCTTCTATAGACTTCTGTGGAAAAAATATATACCCCAAAGTGTCTTAAAACCACCTAAATGCATATAATGTACATTTTTATAGGATCCCAGTCCACATTGTGATACTGAAAAAATGTGTTTCATGTATATGTACATACTGTATAGCGTGAGGGGAGAAGGAGAGAAACAGAAAACATAGGTAGAAATATAAAAGGTGAGATGAGAAGCAAGAATTACAATGACCTTGAAGCAGTGGTTAGCTGTGACAGAGGCATTCATGTATTGAAGATAAGAAACATCAGACTTTGTTTAACTCACAGAAAAGATAGAACTTTTAATGAATTCTCATTCAATTTTTTCATAAAGAATTTAATTCGTAGAATACAATGTTTCATTATGCAATTCTTCGTTCATGCTAACACAAATACAAGAATCAAATACTAGGCACAGCCCTCAACCTATAAAAGGGGTGTCAAACTGGCGGTCCACGGGCCAGATGCGTCACGCACAGGCCACACCCACCCCAGCTCCGTGAATGGGAAAAACATAGCAATACACATGACAGCAATGTGACGCAGTGAGTTTAACACCCGTGACCTATAAGAAAGCCAAAATGATGATATGTATAGTAATATCACAATGTAAAAGCCACCATTCTGTGTTTGAGCCGCAAATTCTGATGCAACTACATAGGTTGCTACAATTAGATGATGACACCAGGCACATTTTATAATTTTCCCACCCGCTCTCTGCCTCATCCATGTCCTGAAGCAGATTCCAATGTTACTTCCACCAAATAACTGCCTGAGAAACACTAATATTACTCAGAACCTCAAGGGACTTTCATAGGAAGAACCTTACAATTACTAGTAGTTCAATGTAATATATACAATCAATATCTATATATACCTTATATTAGATCACATGGAGTCTGGTAGCATCTTCCAAGTTATCACATTTTATTTAACGGTATAAGCTTTTATGAACTACAGCTCATTTTACCAGATGCATCTTCTATTCTTCTCCTACACTAGGGGTATAAACTTGATTTCATTGAGGGCCACATTAGGGTTGTATTTGACCTCGGAGGGCCAGGGTGGGCATAACCAGTTCGATATCACTCATGTCAGGGTACCTGTGGTGGCCCAAGCCTTCTGCCAGTGAAAATGGCATCCCAAGCTCCGTTTTTGGCTGCAATGGCTTCCTGCAATCCTCTGCACTGCAGACTGGTCCTTTGCTGTTTCCAGGGCAGCCCCGTGGGCCAGATCTAAGCACACCATGGGCCAGATTCAGCCCTTGGGCTTGAGTTTGACATCCCTGTCCTCTATACTGGACAAATTGATCAATCCCTATGGAATATATGCACCCAAATCTGACAACCAAAATAGCAACTTTACAATGAAATACAATAAATGTGTGATATGTTTAATAATACATTTCTTGGATTTTCATGAATCACTAGAACTCCTGGAAGGAAAGAATTCTTACTAAGAGTGTTTCTTAGATATGGACCAATACCACCCATTAAGTATTACATATATTTGAGGAAAAAGGGATTTATTTACATTCCAAGTACCACTAATGGGGTTCTTAGATGATATGCCAATTGTAGTTATTGACCAGGTTGGGATCTGTTTTATATCACCTTGGTTACAGCATCATGTGCTTTCATGCTATACCTTAAGGACCCTGATCCAAGATAAGAAAAATTTTTATTATATAATTATAATATTATATAATTAAGCATACTTAGAAGTTTAAACAATGGAATGTGGATTTTTGGAAGCAGGAAGAGTTTCCCATAAAAGCATCACGTAGCTTGTATCTTAGCCATCCCTTTTTTCCAAGAAGAATGAAAAGGTCATTCCCATGCTTTTACTAAAGATTTTTGACATAGTTATGACATCACCAAAAACTAATCTGAAAGCTATCATTGTGCCTAGAGTTCTAAGGCCACTTCCTAATGAAGGGCATGTGCTCTGCTTGAGTTTATTTTGAAAGTGGATTTGCTTATTTTTCAGATGCAATCAAAGGAATGTTCAGAGGGTGAAATAAGCACTTGAAACCTGTAAGCCAAAAAAGTGTGCATGGTCCCAGCAGCCAGCAAAAAAGTCATCTGTAAAATACATTATCTTGCGAAAGGGATCTACTAACCTTTATGTTGATTGCTTAAAGGGGAGGAAAACTACTACTTTAGTTTTAAAGTAAATAAAAGTCTTAATTCATTTTTAAATCATCACAAAGATAGTCTGTTTATTCTGTAAACAGATGCTTCAAAGTAGCAACTTTGATAAAAAATGTTTAAGGCAATATATATTTAAAGATTATGAAGGCTGTTTACCTTGATGTTACAATTGTCATCAAGAAGAATATTTTCCAGTTTTAAATCCCTGTGAACGACTCCATTCTGAAAGAAGAAATAAAGAAAACATGCAGATGAATATAAAGGAGATTCTAGAGGAGGGGGGTTTAATATTGACTGGATTAAAGAAGCAAAGCATCAGGGTGGTCTTTGCATTTACACTTCAGTCATAACACTAGTAACTAGTGACAGGAGATGCATTAGTCACTTGCTGTGTGGTTAGGAGAAGAATGACTGGAATTTGTCCTCCCACAAAGCCTGTAAAACAGCAGGGGAACTCTTTTCGGAACTTAATCCCAACCCCAATCTGCCCCTCACAATGTAAAAGTAATATATTCTTCCCAGGCATTAGAAAACAATCCCTATCAAGGTATGTTAGTACAGTACTTGCAAAAGGCCCAGTAATTCTAGCTGCTAGCCTTTTTAGGCATGATGACTTATACTGTACCCTTCAAAGGCTGCTTCAATATGAGCCTGAAATCCCATAACTTCTTCAAATTCATTAATATTAAAATTATAAAAGTAAAAACTACAATCTGTGTGTTTTAAGTGGTTTTGTGTATTTCATGCTATGTTCCCTGCGGCATAAATTAATCCTATTGGAACAACTTCATAACAATATAATCAGCCTGGAGTGTTCTCTTAATATGCCATTATTATGCAAGGACAACTTGCAGGGATTCTTCTGATCTTGTGAACTCTGAAAGTGTGGACAGAGTTTTTGGCAGCATGAGCTCTCTGGGTGGACCCCAGGCTGCACTAGGCTCCTTCAGGAAGGTAGATAGGGTGATTGCATGTGAATTTGAGAGGGATTGTGCTTCTTGTCTTGAAGATTGTGGTATACCCCTTCCTGCAGAGGGCACTTTTTCATCTCATCATTTTGGATAAATCCTGTATAGTTTCCAACTTTCCCTTCTTGCACAGAAGCTAGAAATAATCCTGAAGCTCAACCCTTTCACAGTTGAGCTTCAGACCTAGGCATGAGATTGAAACTGAAGTGGTCACTCTTATGAAACACTGTTTTACAGCCCTCTCTAAGTGGCTTAGAGTCAGCATATTGCCCCCAACAATCTGGATCTTCGTTTTACCGACCTTGGAAGGATGGAAGGCTGAGTCGGTCTTGAGCTGGTGAGACTCAAACTGCCAAACCACTAGCAGCTGGCAGTCATCAGAATTACATGAAACTACTGAAAGAAGATACAGGTAGTCCTTACTTACTTATCACAACTGGCAACTCCATCTCTAAGTAATACAGTCATAATATGAAACATGACTGAATCCAACTTACAGCACTTCCGGCTGCAGTTTTGAAGCAAATAACCTGCAGTCATTAAGTGCAACATCACATGACCACTACTTGCAATTTCCTGCCAGCTTTCCCATTGTTTATGCGAAGCTGGCTATGGAGGTTGCAAATAGTGAACCTGTGACCACAGGAGACTTTGACTATTCTAAATGCACACTGATTGTGTTCAAGCACCCAAATTTGCGATCAGGTGACCATGGGGATGCCGCGACAGCTGCAGGTTTGAGGTTGTAAATCTCATTTTTCAGCAGTGAGTAAGCAAAGACTATGCTATATTGGTCAGTTCAGAATGAGGTATCATTTTATTGGACAGGAAAAGCAGTGGAAACAATGGAATGAAACAAAACAGACTGAAACTGCATTTTTTAAAAGATGGAGTTGCTATTTGTCTAGAAGCCAACTTGCTTGAAAGAGGGGCCTACACTAAATTGAAACCTATTTTTAGTTGCTCTGATATAATTTCATCTTACAGTCTGAAATCAGGTATGAAAGGAAGTGCACATAATGCAAAGATTATCACCACACACCTCCAAATATTTTTTACTCACCTTATGACAATAATGAACTGCTGAAACAATTTGCCGGAAAAAGTGTCTTGTCTCCCTTTCATTTAGCCTTCGCCTCTCACTGATGTAATCATACAATTCCCCTTTACTTGCATATTCCATGATGATCACTATTTTATCTTTGTTCTCAAATACTAAGATAAAATAGAAACAAATACTTTTATTATATTGATGAATTAAATACAAAATACTCATATACCATTATAAGCAATCGGAGCTAGCATCTTCTAATGTAGAGAAGCACAAATTACTCAGTTTCAAGTCAAGAGCAGCTTTATGTTCTTTCTTAATTTATCATTTTTGCAGTTTAGACACAGAATTAGGCACATTTTTAAAATTTTTAAATACTTTTAAAAGTTTATAATACTTTGAAATATTTTTCACAATTCTAAGCATATTTTCTCTCAAGATATGTATTTCAAGAGAAATTTTGTCATAGATACCTTATAAACATCATACCTTATAAATACTCTGATACAGTTTTGAACCATAAATTGAAACAAAGGATTTAAAATAGTGAAAATTAATTCCAATCTGCCTACTACTCAACAGATAGTGTTTCAATGCAAATACAAATAAAAATTCAGTAACATTTTCCCATAATGTTTCCCTAGGTTCTTCTAGTAACCTCATAAAAATTGTTGTGACTACATTTTTTTCTCATTTTCATAAATATAAATAGGCATTTTATTTGAAGGCCTGTTTTTAATTAGGAAAGAACAAGCAAAAAAAGAGAAATATATTGTGAATAGGGAGAAAATGTTTAATAAATGACTTTGATTGCCACAGGTAACCAATCAAGTAATTTATATGAGCTGCAGAATTTGCTTCAGGAATATAATAAACTAACAACACAATATTTAATACATTTCCTTCCTTGCTTAATAAAAAATATGAATTTCCCACTTGGAGCACAAATGAGGTCTGAAACTGAAATCACACCTTTTTCTTGGTCATGCTGCCATTAATAGAGAAAAATCGATTACTATTAGCAATCAACGTATAATATGAAACTTACGCAGTCGGTTGATGCTCTTTTGAAGAGGAGTAAATAGGTAAAATATAAAATAATGTGTGCTATGGATAAATTATGTCACTTATACAAAAATAAGGAAGCACAGTATCCAGTGAGCTGTCGTGCTTGACATATTCTGCTTGCCTTGCCTGTCTTCATGATCCAGGTTTTCACTATGGAATAAGTGTGTATTACTATGTCAAGGAAAATGAATATTCTATTAAAATTAAATGTGTGGATATTCAAGGCCAATGAAATCTTTAACTGTGCATAGAGCTTTGGGGTTATGCGTCACACAGACAGTTTCATAACATTTCACAGGCAACTGGCATCTTCAGAGGCTGTGTGGTACATAATCCCAAAGCTCTATGGAGTTATGCGTCATACAAACCACCTTGCCTCTGAAGATGCCAGCCACATTGCCTGTGAAATGTCAGGAAACTGGTATCTGAAGCTCAACACGGTCCAATAGTTAAAAATGAATTAAATTTCTATTCTTTCCTATTAAAATCTAAATTTCAAGCTTCATTTAGTATTAGTTATACTATAACCAATTCTGGTATAACTATTTGGAATGCTTGGCTCACTGTGTTTTTGCTCCATTTGATTTATGACCTGTCATCATAATGCAGATTATTCTAAATCCGGGACAGCTTCTACTTAGGCTCTGTGCTGTTGCTACCACCAACTACTTCAGAGAAAAAAAATTAATGATACAAGATACTATAGAGATGTGGATCAATGACTATGATACACAACAGATTACTATTTAAAAAACGTTAGGAATCTGTTCACCTGAACGGTTTGTTTGTTCTTTTCTTACAGGAATTGGACAAACAAAAACCTTCTTTATATTCTTTGAAATTGCATTGGTTATGCTTTTTGACGATGTCTGGCAGGAGCAGGATGGAGTAGTGCATGCATCTTTGCTGTATTTGATCTCTCTACAGCCTTCAATACCATCAACTATGGTATCCTTCTGGAGTGGCTTTGGGTGTTGGAAGTGGTGGGTACTATGCTGTTCTGTTCAAGTCCTTCCTCTGTGATTGATCTCAGTCAGTATTGATAGGAACCAAGAAATCTGACCCTCATCCATGGGCTTCTGCAGACTCATTGGGGTGGGGGGTGAGGCGATGGCTCAGCAGTTAAGACACTGAGCTTGTCAGTTGGAAGGCTGATAGTGTGAGTTCAACCCCCAAGCACCACACATTGGGGTGAACTCCCATTACTTGCCCTGGTTCCTGTCAACCTAGCAATTCGAAAGCAAGCAAATACAAGCAGATAAATAGGTACTGCAGTACTTTCTCTGCTTCCCCTCTTCCCTTAGGAAGGTCCCCCGTCCTAAGGAGGTCCATCTAGCAGGACCAAGAAGACTTAGGGAATATCATTCCTGCAGAGGTAAGTTTGGCCTACACTCTGACATTCTTTTTTAATGTCCTGAAGACATGGTTCTGCCTACAGGCTTGAGGACCCTAGAATGGTATGTAGCCCATCAAGTGGCTGGTCTGATTGTTGTGGCCAGGGCTGTTGGGAGCCATAAGGATTTATATTGGGATTTTATCTTTGTAAGACACCCAGAGTCACCAACAGTGAGTGGGACAGCCATATACATTACCTAAATGGATGGGTGGATGAATTCCGATATAAGAAAAAATAAAAGTAAGCAACAAACTCGTATTTTTGAAGGATCTGAATAGAACTTATATAATATAATAAAAACTGCCAACTAAGAATGTCTATTTACTACGGCTACATTTCAGTTCTGTCTACATTGCCTTTTAGCAATCGATCAGAACATCACCCTAGATCAGTGTTTCTGAACCTTGGCAAATTTTAAGATGTGACGACTTGAAAACCAGTCCATACATCTTAAAGCTACTAAGGTTGAGAAACTGAAGTATTCTCAGTCCCTACACTGAATTCATCTACCTAAGATTGTTACAAGGCTCCTAGCCTGGAAAGATTACAAATTCAACTTGGGATGAGATTCTGTTTGAGAAACAATAGATTTTGTGGTTATGTGGGATTCTTTGGCTCTGATTCTTAGTTATTCTCTAACAGCTGCCTACATTTCAGTCTTGGCAATACATGTTAATCATCTTGTTTCAATGTACAAATGTTTTCCATCTTCACCTGCCCCCTGTCCACCCACATCCTTTTCAAAAAGAAAGTTCCTTAAATAAGAATCTTGTTATGTAAATAAATACTTTACTTTAAAATAGAACTTGGATTTTTTGATGCAGCTTGGAAGAATTTACAGGATAACTAAATATTTCTGACAAATATTTATTTACCTGTTCAGATATTACCACGTTGCTATTTATCCAGCAAAGTAAATTTCATTTCATCTCTACAGAAGTCATGTTGGAGCAGGGGGAGGAAGCCACTTTGATGTAGTGGTTCAGGCATCAGGCTAGAGAAAGGCAGCATATGAGTTCAAGTCCTGCCTTAGCTATGAATGCTGGCTGGGTGACTTTGGGACTTTGGTAATTCTCTCAGCCCAACCCACCTCACAGGGTTGTTGTTGTTGTGGAAAAATAGGAGGAGGAAGAAAGTGTGTTGGATGTGTTCACTGCTTTATTTGTAAAAATGATAAAGGTGGGGATACAAATAGTAATAGCACTTAGAATTATACCTCTTCACAGCGCTTTTACAGCCTTCTTTAAGCGGTTTACAGAATCGGCGTATTGCCCACAACAATCTGGGTCCTCATTTTACCTACCTTGGAAGGATGGAAGGCTGAGTCAATCTTGAGCCTGGTGAGATTCGATCTGCCAAATTGCAGGCAACCAGCTGTCAGCAGAAGTAGCCTGCAGTACTACATTATAACCACTGCACCACCACAGCTCTTAAATAAATACTGCAGGAAAAACCTAAAATGTGATAAAGGTGGTCCTCAACTTACAACCACAATTGGGATCAGAATTTCTGTTGCTAAACAAAGCAATTATTAAGTAAATCTCACAGTCATTAAGCAAATCCAGCTTACCTCACTGACTGCTTGTCGGAAATTGTTTGAAAAAGTTCTAAATGGCAATCACCTGACCTCAGGATGATGCAACCATCCTAAATACATGCCAGTTGTCAAGCAACAGAAACCTGATCACATGACTGTGAGAATGCTGCAATCAATGGTCAGAAGTGTGAGAACTGGTCATAAATCACTTTTTGTTAAAGGAATGTTCGTAAGTCATGAACTACCTGTACAATTCTTCAATAGGATGTGTATATATGCTTTTTCCAGTTCCATAAACTATTCCAGAAGGTCTTTATGCAATTAGTCTAAAGTATTTATGTTTCAAACACTGAATATATTTACTTCTACCCTTAGACTCTAAAAAAGAATTTGTTTATTTGATATCTTTGTCTCTGCATTATTTTTTAATTCCTTGTTTCTGAACAGCTAATTGAAAACACATATTTTGGCTTTGGATTTTACTAAAACATAAGGAATGTAAAACTGGGAAAGAATTTAATTCTCGTTACCAAGGATATGTCTGAGTCGAAGTACATTTTGTAACACAGTGTTTCTCAGCCTATTATTCTACTATTCATAATAATTCCTGAATGTAATTTGTCTAACTATATTTAGAATGTTGAAATGATGAGCTCAGCTTCTATTTAGAGCTATAAAACAGAAAACCTCACTAGCACAAAGACTTCCCTCTACTTCTGCCTATTAAAAGTTTTTGAATTCTTTGCATCCAGTGAGGCATCATATTCCTCTTTAAAACATACTTGGTCATTAAAAGGAAAACTGAGACTTCATTATTAAGCCAACATGTTTTTAAAGCAAAACTGGTACATTGGTATATGCGCAGTGACATACCCTACTGAACAGCCATGGACCATTCTGCCTAATTCTTACATGGTTTTTAGATCCTTTATAAGTGTTATTTTATAACTAAGATGGGAATTTATTTTTCTATTTTGGAATCCTAGTTTCACTGAAAGCTGCAGATGCTTATTTTTTATTTTTATTTTTCAAAAAAAACCCAGACATCTACCTTGAGAGTTGATTGCTTTTTGTTTACATGTAACCTCAGGATAAGAATTTTGATTTGTTATTTTAAGAGAGGCAATCAATCGCCTCACACTAGAACATCTGAATTCTCCTCA